GGTAAGTGGGAGTATCAAATAGCAGGTAGCTATAGGATGTGGGGTGACAGACATGTACAGCCTGTCAGAAAACACCAACTCAGAATGGTAAGTGGGAGTATAGAATGTGGGGTGTCAGACATGTACAGCCTGTCAGAAAACACCAACTCAGAATGGTAAGTGTGAGTATAGAATGTGGGGTGTCAGACATGTACAGCCTGTCAGAAAACACCAACTCAGAATGGTAAGTGGGAGTATAGAATGTGGGGTGTCAGACATGTACAGCCTGTCAGAAAACACCAACTCAGAATGATAAGTGGGAGTATCAAATAGCAGGTAGCTATAGGATGTGGGGTGACAGACATGTACAGCCTGTCAGAAAACACCAACTCAGAATGGTAAGTGGGAGTATAGAATGTTGGGTGTCAGACATGTACAGCCTGTCAGAAAACACCAACTCAGAATGGTAAGTGTGAGTATAGAATGTGGGGTGTCAGACATGTACAGCCTGTCAGAAAACACCAACTCAGAATGGTAAGTGGGAGTATAGAATGTGGGGTGTCAGACATGTACAGCCTGTCAGAAAACACCAACTCAGAATGGTAAGTGGGAGTATCAAATAGCAGGTAGCTATAGGGTGTGGGGTGACAGACATGTACAGCCTGTCAGAAAACACCAACTCTGAATGGTAAGTGTGAGTACCAAATAGCAGGTAGCTATAGGGTGTGGGATGACATTATAATTATTATTATTACAATGTACAGCATGTCAGGATGGTAACTACTGGTACTACTGTACTGTGCCTGCTGTATTGAAATTATGTGGATAGTAAGTGAATCCCATCTTGCAATACCAATGAGCATGAAAGTAAGCAATTCACTTTTCTGCAGCCAACATCTTTTTGTTCAGTTGCAAGTGAGACAATGTGTGTGTGTCTGTACACATTATTTAGTTGCAAGTTTGTTTTTTTGTTTTCTGTTCTAAATACATTTTTCACAATCTTATTTCAAGTTGCCAAATTATATGAATAAAATGCTGATACTTTCTCACAGTACAGATCATTTGATTGGTCAAGCCTAATGTGCTCAGATCATTTGATTGGTCAAGCCTAATGTGCTCAGATCATTTGATTGGTCAAGCCTAATGTGCTCAGATCAACATATTAAATGTCATTTTTCTGAATAGCTATATTGTTGTAGTGGCTGGCATCTACAAGTTTTTAGTTTTTGATGAATATCATGTGGAATTCCTTGGAAAAATATTGAATACATATTAATGTGTTAGAATGAATTATTAGTGTGTACAACTGTTTTAGATAGGACTAAAACTGTAGTCATAACCCTATCAGTGTTGGCAAGTTTCCAAACAGATTTATTATTACAATTCATGTAATTGTTATTGTGTATATCACATTGATTGTCTTTCTATAGGGTGACAACACAGTTACTAGTAATACAGCCACTATGACCAGTCCCAATAGATTTGTACCCACCATTATAGAAACTCAGGCATCTATACGAGAATATCGACCAGCCTCACGAGGAAAATCAAAGAAAAGGTGAGACTTGACATCTTTACACACATTCAATGCCCTAAATCAGATTGATAATTATATTTGTATGATTCCCAACATTTGTCTAAAACAAAAATTAAAATTTGAAGTTTTGCGATTTTTATCACCCTAAGATTATTTGTTTAATTAATGGTTTTAACAATTTATGATCTTAGAAGAAAGAAGCGGTTTGGTGAAAGACATCAAGCTAGTAGTGATGAAGAAAACTTCCAAACAATAGCACTTGGCATGGAGGAATACAGCACCGATTCTGATATGTCAGTCATCCGTGCTAGAACACAGTCAAACTCATCAGTTGCAAGCAGTCCAACAAAGCGTATTGAAAGAAAACCTATGAATGGTGTGACCAAACAAGTTATTGTTGCAAAAGAAGATGTAAAACAACCCATTGTTACCAGTCAAGCAAAGAAATCTACATCTAAGACAAAACACTTAGTTGATTATCAACTGGGTAGCAGTAGTAGTAGCAGCTCGTTAGTGTCAGTTACTAGTGCTACTGGTAGTGATGAGAATGATTTAACTATGACAGCAGCAACAACTACTGAGTAAGTCTCTTGAACCAACTTATCACAATCAAATAAATCTTACTTTTGTAGTTAGTTACTTATTTTTTACATTGAGCAGCTCCAGTTGTGTGACCTAGTATGGCTTACTGATTGGTTCTTGTGTATATTTGCAGTAAGAGAAATTTGGGTGCAACGTATGAAGAACCAAAAAAGTCCGATGAGATTGATGAAACACAGAGAGTAACACCTCCTTATTCTACTGTCAAGAAACGAAATTCAAAAAAACATAAACAAGTTATGATTTATTCCCCTAGCACTGACGATAGTAGCTGTGATACTGACAGTGGTTCTGAAAGTTCTATTCAAAGTGAGTACTGAGAGTAGTGTCATGTTTCAACCCTTAATACAACATTCGGACTAATATAATAAATCGTTTCTATTCACTGCGAGATCTGTCGTTATGCGTGAAATTGAATGTAAAAACAGGACAAACAAAGGTCATCAAAATATT